GATTAAATTAAAACAATCAAATTCTTATTTATTTCTTAATATACCTACATACGTAGATAAGTATAGTATATGTATAAATTATATTTTACTTATTTCTTTTTTTATCAGTTTATTTATCTTTGTTTTTAATTCAGAGACATATGGTATTGGCAAATTATGTTTATAGAGATATTCGATTTAATAGAAATATACTGTCCGATCATCGGTAGGTGGAAGAAAATGTTTCACTAAAATTATAAATCGGTTACTCAAGTTCGAGTTAAATTTGATAACTCATTTAAAAATCTAAATTTGTTTCAAAAATACAAATTAATTAAACAAATATGATATTTTTGGTAAATTTTGTATCTTTTTTAATATAGTTTCTGTGCTTAATTCGAAATAAAACTTTATATTATCACTTTAAAGCGCGTCACTAACCTTATGTATGTTAGTGACGCGTTTTAAATAGTTAACTACAAAATATCTGCTTTAATGAAAATCACAACTTCAAAATAATACATTCAATTTTAATTATTTATTGGATTCATATTGATCTAACATTTCTCTATGGAAAACCCTGTAACTGTACATACACACGACTGCGTCGCATTTGTCCCATATGCTACAAAGAATAAAAAACAATCTACTTGTTTGCTATAGTTATCAATGAATTTTGAAAGAATTACCTCATGTTTTAAATATCGAAATCTATACTCAATATTGCGTTTCCTCTCAGCTGTGTATATTTAAAGTTGGCGCAGTTTCCCATGCGCGTGCAGCCACTGAGCATGCACACATGGGCCACCATAATGGCCATAGGGCATGTTCGTAGTCGCTTCGCTACAGCTCGTCGGTATGACAGGAATCATGACCTAATATTTGTCAACTTTAACATTTTGGGGCCGAAGGCACTAAGGGCCTTAGCACATAGAAAAACTTAAGCAGTAAGAAATCAACGGTTTGGATTCGCTGCCGCTTAGGGCCGTGCCTTAAGTTCTTGACTGTGATTGCCTGATTTGCTTACTGCTTGAGTTTTACTGCTTAAGTTTTTCTATGTGCCACGGCATTAAGGGCCAAAGCACATAACATGGCGTAGCGATATACGACGGTCGTAGTCCTCGACCTGACAAATCAAGATACGCCAAAGCTTGTGCGTTACTTACGTCCACGACTACGACTGTCATATGTGCTTTGGCCCTTAGGGTAAGTTTCTCTCAGCCGAGAGAATTAACCTCAAAAAGAAAAAAAACTTTAACATTTAATATTTCGCTTCGCGGGGCAGACCGACACTTCGTGCAAAAACGCGTTGATTGAGCATAATTACATCGATATTTGAGGTGAGGCCCCTAAACTAAATAATTATCCTACTAGTAAGAGGTTTTCCTAAAATATTCTTTAATTTTTGTGCCCCGAGAAAAAATCCTGAGAGTAATGCATTAATATTATTTGGTAGTAAAAGTGGAAACATATTAATTAGCAAAAGTATGACTCTCCTGAATAAACGTCATTTGTATTGAGCAAATTGATGAAATTGAATTTCATATTTACAACAAGGCATTATTTCTTAAGCAAAATGCCTTACTACGCAGTAGCCAGGGGTAAAAAACCTGGAATTTACGCCACATGGTAAGGAAATCAATATAATGACTAATAAATTATTAGCAAAAATAAATTAAATAAAGTTTTTCTATTTTATTAGGGATGAATGCAGCGCTCAGGTTCTTAAGTTTCCTGGATCGATATATAAGAAATTTGCAACGGGAAGCGAGGCTCAAAACTTCATAAAGGAGCATTCATCTTCAGCTGAGGAGACAAATTCTTCCAAGAGTCTCCTTTCGTCAAAAATTGTTAAATCTGTGAGGTAAAACTTGAATAACAACTGTTTTTTTAATAACAAAAGTGCATTGTAAAGCTAATAAGATTGAAATCTCATTACAATATCACTTAAAGTTAATATTTTATCTAGATCTCAGACTCTGCCGAAACAACTATATTTACTTGGTGATAAACAGTCTGTGGTAGCCCCGACAAAATTATTCGCATCAGTTTCAAAGAGGACTTTATCGACAAATGACAATACTAATGAACAATCAAGTAAAAAGAGAAAAATAGCGTCAGATATTTCAGACAATTGCCTGAGCTCAGCTCAGTGTCTTAATCAGGTTTGAAATAAATCACAGGAATTATATAAACTCTCTCAAGAGCTAAACTAATCAACTTCATTTTTTGTAAACTTTAATATCAGAGTGCATAATCAGTCAATTCATTAATTTTTTTTCATTCCATGGAATTGGGGTCGATTTGTATGGTTTCTGAGACTCTTATGTGATTTATAAGAATAAGTTATACTACAAAATTATACATTCCACAAATTTGGAATTATATAGGATGACAAAGCGGACTTTATTGTGGACGAAGATGGCTACGTGGACGTTTTCACGGATGGCGCGTGCAGTTCAAATGGATACAAGGAGGCGCGAGCCGGTATCGGCGTTTGGTTCCGAGACAATCATCCCTTGTACGTTTTATTTTTTAGTCTTGTCAATTGTCTGTCGGAATCCAATGAATCGGTGTATAATATAGTTATAACTTTTATAGAAACGTATCTGAACCGGTGGAGGGACGAGCTACCAATAACATGGCAGAGATCCAAGCCGTCACGGTAGCTGCGAGGCAGGCGAAGAATGCTGGAATCAAAAAGCTGAAAATCAATACCGATTCCAAATTCCTTATCTCCTGCATCACGAAGTGGATGCCAATCTGGAAGAGAAGAGGGTGGAAGACGGTGCAGGGCAAGCCAGTTATAAACAAAACAGAGTTGGAGGAAATGGAAAAGGAACTGAATTCTTTGACTATTGCTTGGGTAAGCAATCTTTTAAGATTTAATTTAAAGTTTTATAGAAATAAAATCTAAATGTCATATATATATATATTTTTTTTTATTTGTCTAATTAATATGATATAGATATGCTCTGTACTATTGTGAAAATACCAAATATTTAATTTTCTAGAAACATGTGAATGGACACGTAGGAATTTATGGTAACGAAATGGCAGACAAACTGGCAAGAGACGGCGCCTTACGATATAAAAGTCAAGTTTAAGAACGAAGATTAACAGTACAAAATATTTTCTATAAATTGCATTCTAGATTATCTAATTATTTTTGTTTACGTAAACTTTCCTATAGAAAATATTCTGTAATTAGACATTTATTATAAAATTTACTAAATCTGATATGTAATAAACCTTTTCTTTTACAATTCTAGTGAGTAAAGCAGATTATGTCAGTAAAAGATAAATTGTAA